CCGGCGAGGGAGGAGCTGGATCGAGCCCAACGACTCCTCCAGCATCTCCCAAATCTCGCCCAAACCAGGGCGGCACCCCCTTGGTGGAAGAGTGGGGACACGGCAGCAGTTTGTCCCCAAATCGTGGGGTCAGGACAGCTCCTCGCTGTGCCAGTGTCGCTGGGCTCCAGGCTGGAGCTGTCCCCGGTCACCTTCAGCCCGGCTCTCGAGTGGCAGAGCTGGGCCAGGTGGTGGTAACCTGAGCCAGGCAGAGCTGCTGGGAACCAGCCCCGGTGCTCTCCGCGAGCTGTTTAAGCCGAGCGAGGCAGGTTAATGGCCCCAGTCGATGATGGAATGTTTTCATTACAGCATCTCTCTCTCTCTCTCTCTCTTTCTGCTGCAATTGCTCCCAAGAAGATACATTAAACCTCCCCGTGCCAAGGGATCAGATCAGCCTCTTGCTCACACCATCGGGGATTGTCCGACTGCTGCTCATCTGTCCGTGCTCTGCTGGGGCTAAACAAACTCCCTCAGCCTGCAATTCCATTTCCCTTTTCCTCTCCCTCCTACAGACATGGCACAGAAACTCAGTCCCAGAGCTGGGGAGCACCAGAAATCCCACCCCAACCTCAGCTTTTCCCTGCCAAAACATCCTCCAGTGCCAGTCTGTGTGGGATCAGCCCAGCTTGCTCCCAGCTCACTCCCGGCTCAATCCCACAGGGCTGAGCCAGCTCAACTCTCCCAAACCTTCTCCCAGGTGAATCCCAGCTCCCTGGACCCTTTCCCAGGTGGAATTTCCAGCTCAGGCTCTCTGGGTTGCTCCCAAAAGACACAACCTTGCTCTCAGCTTTATGAAATTTCATCCTGTGGCTCTGACTCTCATTCCAAGGTCACCCACCCTTCTCCCAGGTGCTGGTGGCATCCTCAGGCTTTGTGGCACCTGCCACATCCCTCTTACACCAGACTCCTATTGGGAATATCGAGCTTGGGAAGCCCCAGGATGGGACAACCCACTGTCACATCATCAGTCAGCATCCCTGGCGTGGTCCCCAGTGCGTGTCCTGCTCGTTCCACCAGCATCACCTGCCTGTGAATCACAGATAACTCTGCTGGTATCAGATCAGATTTGTACCGAGCTCCTGATTGATTGGTTCAAGCTGTTTGTGGTGCCTGGCTGAGCCAGGATGTGCTCAGGGACCGGAGACCCTGCAGGGTGTGAGGGGAAGGAGGTGCAGCAGCTGAACCAAAGGGTTGGGATGAGCTTATCACACCTAGGCATCAGCCAAAACCTCTCCACCAGCTCTTCCTATCCAAGTGCTGCTGCACTGAGATGTGTCTCTTCCCCTGGGCCGGCGCTGGCGGCTGCGGTGCTGGAATGGGGCTGGAGATTGCTCTGTGGTCTCGGGATGCTTTTAGGAAGTGCTGAGTGCAGGGAAATAGCAAACCACGAGAAGGGGCAGAGCTGCTGCAGGGAGGAGACGCCTGTGCTCCCAGCAGCCAGCCTGGATGCCAGTTCCAGCCCTGGGGCTGCTCCCCTGGCCCCTCAGCCTGGATGCCAACTCCATCCCACCATCCAGGACTGCTCCCTGGGACCCCCAGCACGGGGCCTGGCTGCCATCCCCCAGGAGAAACTGTGGCTCCCCACAGGGATCCGAAGCATGAGGTGACACCCTGGGCAGTGGCTGAGCTCTGCAGAAGGATTCATCACCTGAACAGCACTCCAATCCTGCCCAACACAGCCCTGCCTGGAGGAGGATGAACCTCACACCCCGTGGGACATCACCTTCTCTGGATGCTCCCCTGCAGGATGAAGGGGGATGAGCCTGCAGGGAGAGGAGCTGCCAGAGCATCACGAGAGCTCGAGGACACCACAGCATCTCTTGGCAGTGTCACAGGCATTTTGGGCAAACCTCTGGCTCTGACTGCCCTGATGGAGAGCGCAGAGAGCTCAGCATATGGTGGCTC